TCTTTAGACTGGGGCAAAGTATGGCGCAAAGGGTTAATTTGATAATAAATGCAGTCACAGCGTGTTATTATTACGAATCGAAATTTTTAATTCGAATTTGCAGATCGATTACAAATCTTTGGTTAGATTGTGAAGTCTAAACTGAGGAAAATAATTATAAAGGATTAATTTTATAAAAATATATAAATTGTAATAAAATTCGAAATTTTGAATTCGAATTTACAGATCATTTACAAATCTTTGTTTAGACTGGGAAGTTTAAACTGAGGAAGATAATTATAAAGGATTAATTTTATAAAAATATATAAATTGTTATAAAACTCGAAATTTTGAATTCGAATTTACAAATGTTGATCAATTATAAATTGAGGAAGATAATTATAAAGGGTTAATTTTGTAAAAATATATAAATTGTTGTTATAAAATTATAAATTATAAATCAATTATAAATTGAGGAAGATAATTATAAAGGATTAATTTTATAGAAATATATAAATTATTGTTATAAAACTCGAAATTTTAAATTCAAATTTACAGACATTGATCAATTATAAATTGAGGAAGATAATTATAAAGGGTTAATTTTATAAAAATATATAAATTGTTGTTATAAAATTCGAAATTTTGAATTCGAATTTACAGACGATTACAAGCCTACGAAGTTTAAACTGAGAAAAATAATTACAATATAAAGGAGTTGATTTGATAAATATAGTTATACGAAAATTTAAATTCGAATTTACAGACTTTGATCGACTACAAGCCTTTGCACTTGCTTTCTTTCTTATAATTCTAAACTGAGAAGGATAATTATAATTAAAAAAAGATTAATTTTATAAATATATAAAGTTAGTTGATCGTATGTTATGCCAAAATTCGAAATTTGTTGATATAATTGAAAACAATTTGGAATTAGATATTGTTAGATATTTTATATTGGAGGAAATTCTTTCGATTTAATAATTTGAGGTTAGGTTATAATATATTTCGAATAGATTATATAGAATATATTAATGAATTTTGTAAGAATATTGTTACACGGAAAGAAATTTGTTATTAATGTATAGTCTAATTCCAAATTGTTTCTGATTAGTTTGTGTAACCAATACTTTTCGACAAACTAGATGGAGTATCAACTGATTTCGAATTTTAATAATAACATATATGCTGTTTATTATTAAATTTTATACTTTCACTGTAACAATCTCATCAAACCTGCCTAATTAATTTTCTACGGTATGGTTTACACATTTTTTGGTATCTTTCCAACGAGTAACGTAAAATCGACGCTTGCAAAAATAACAAAAGACTCGAAGGACTCGAAATAATAGATTGAACCGTATAAAATTTTTAAAGTGCTAAAGTAATAAAGTAACACGTGTACAGAAATTGCGAATGATCGAAAACGATGGATTGAAATTTAGAAAATAGTAAATCGTAGAATATTATATATCTTTTATAAATTTCTAGGGCCAAAAACAAAGAAACTAGTTTATACAAGGAAGCGAAACAATTATTTTCGAGAAATGGCGGTTAATTTAAAATTTTCATAATTTTCCATATCGACTTGTCGCTGTAAGAAATTTAAATGAGAATTCTAATAGCTCTTTCGGCTCTTCAGCTTCAACTCGGAAATAATTAAACTTACTACTAAAGAAGACGATCGATTTTTTTCTTTTTTTAAATTATACGCCTCGTCAAAGGGAACAACACTTGATATTCAAATTCTTGAAATATATATATATATATATATATATAATTCCACTTTTATCTTATTTTTCAAAGGAACAAATCCATCTTTCCACATATATAAATTCTTACTTCGATTCTATATTAAAATCAAAAATTTTAAATTCAATTGTCCTTGATAAATTAGCTCGGAACTTGAATGAGTCGTCCGAAGTTTATACATGGCCCTTCGTTTGACGAAGAAGAAGAAGAAGAAGAACTCGCGGCGAAAGCCGGCCGCTCGAATTTGTCCACCGGAACAAATTTCTCGTCTGAAAATGAAATTGGAAACGGCGGTTTGCTAAAATTGACTCGGTTACCGAGTTATGCTAATTGACGCGTGCGCGCGACTTTTGCCATCGCATACGTTACACCTCGTAAATTATACTTTAGCAGTTGGATCCAAATGATTAAATAATCCGTTCTCGTTCTACTTGAAATATACGATTATTATTATTATTATTATTATATTAAATTGGAAAATTTTCAATCAAATCACACGATTCGAGTTAATTTGGAAAATACGAATTAAAATGGGGTGGAAATTTATTTGAGGAGAGCGTAGTTTATGGAGAAGCTTCCATTTACGAATCGACTTGATTGAATTGTAAAAATTCGAAAGAAGGATGTGGATTAAGACGGTGTGGAATAATAAATGTTTGGAGAAAGCGTGGTTTGCGGGGAAGCTTCGGTTTAATTCGATCAAATTAGAAGGATAAAAACTCGTGTTAATTATTGTGGAAAAATATGAATTGAAATGGAATCGTGGAATTTTTACAATTCGATTGAATTATAAAATAAATATTCGATAATTATTTTAAGAAACACGAATCACGAGTATTGAAAACAATAATTTATTAAAAGCTTCAAAAATTATTCAAAAATAACCTACGAATTTATAATTGTTCGATTTTTGTTTTAAACGATCTATAAACAATTATAAAAATGAAATCAATCAAGAAAATTACACGGATCTATCTAAAAAAAAAAGAAAAAAAACAAATTAAATAACAAGAATTCAACATCAGAGTGTTTATCCAGCCTCGATCGCTATCCAATGGTCTCTCTATCGTGCATAATCTCGAAAGCGTGCGACGAGATTTATTAGACCGAGCCAAATCAGTCAAACAACCGTGGCACGCCTCGTTGATTTTCAAAGTCTTTCTCTTCAAAATAGAAGCTCCATAAACGACACCGCTTGCCCAACCATTTTAATTCCTATTTTTTTTCCATCTCAGCCTCGCGAGTACGAATCCCCCCTCCCCCCCTCTCCATCCTTGTCGCAAAAAAATTTTCGCAAATTTTTGCCACGATAAATTCGAAATCTTTCATTTTATCACGCAATGAAAATGAATTTCGAGAATCGAGGTAAAAATTAATATGGTTTTTTTATTTTACGCGGGTGAGATTTGAATTTTCGGCGGGAATTTTCGTTCGATCCACGTGACAATACTCTTGAAAAGAGTATCGTTTCTGGATATCATGGCTGAATTATATTTTTGCCACGATAAATTCGAAATCTTCCATTTTATCACGCAATGAAACTGAATTTCGAGAATTGAGATAAAAATTAACATCGTTTTTTTATTTTACGCGGGTCTGAGATTTGAATTTTCGGCGGGAATTTTCGTTCGATCCACGTGACAATACTCTTGAAAAGAGTATCGTTTCTGGATATCATGGCTGAATTATATTTTTGCCACGATAAATTCGAAATCTTCCATTTTATCACGCAATGAAAATGAATTTCGAGAATCGAGGTAAAAATTAATATGGTTTTTTTATTTTACGCGGGTGAGATTTGAATTTTCGGCGGGAATTTTCGTTCGATCCACGTGACAATACTCTTGAAAAGAGTATCCTCTCTTAATATCGTGGCTGTATTAGTAAATTATATTTTCGCCACGATAAATTCGAAATCTTCCATTTTATCACGCAATGAAAATGAATTTCTAGAATTGAGATAAAAATTAACATCGTTTTTTTATTTTACGCGGGTCTGAGATTTGAATTTTCGGCGGGAATTTTCGTTCGATCCATGTGACAATACTCTTAAAAAGAGTGGCTGTATTAGTAAATTATATTTTCGCCACGATAAATTCGAAATCTTCCATTTTATCACGCAATGAAAATGAATTTCTAGAATTGAGATAAAAATTAACATCGTTTTTTTATTTTACGCGGGTCTGAGATTTGAATTTTCGGCGGGAATTTTCGTTCGATCCACGTGACAATACTCTTGAAAAGAGTATCCTCTCTGAATATCGTGGCTGTATTAGTAAATTATATTTTCGCCACGATAAATTCGAAATCTTCCATTTTATCACGCAATGAAAATGAATTTCAAGAATTGAGATAAAAATTAACATCGTTTTTTTATTTTACGCGGGTCTGAGATTTGAATTTTCGGCGGGAATTTTCGTTCGATCCACGTGAAAAGTGAAAGACAATACTCTTGAAAAGAGTATCGTCTCTGGCCGGATATCATGGCCGCGTTAGTGAATTATATTTTCGTGTGCTCCGCCATGCAGAACCTTCCCACGATTCGAAGCACTCGTTGCAGCCGAGACATTCTTTCGACGTTATTCGTTGAACTCGTTAACTGTTACAATATTCATTTGAGAATTATCGAATTATTCGGAAATGGAATAACGTATATAATTATTATCTTAAAAATATAACATTTCTTGCAAGTAATTATAATAATATTTTATTAGAAATATATTACACGCGGAATTACGTAAAAATTTCAAAGATAAAGAAAAATTGGCAATTAAATATATGTGTATGAAATTTTTCGATGTGAAAATCTATGAGATATTGATAATACATACATATACCTGATATCTTAATACACCCATATACGGTGCATGCAGGCTGTTTTCAAGCCTGCTTACGCTTTTAATCGTTCGTGACAAATTGTAAGAGGATATTAGATATCTTCGATGGAGTAATTCTCGAAGGATTAGACACTTGCTCTTAATTCCTAATTTAAAAAACGCGCGCTTTGGATCCAATACATAAATTCTCAAGTCTCCTTCAAATGTCGAAACTTTGTATTGCGCACTCTCCTTTTCGACTTGTAAAAAGAAAAAATAACAATTTGAACTTTAATCAAATAACGAAAGAGAATCGATCAAGCGAGTTTTAATTCCACGACTTTTTTAATCATCGAAAACGCGACTCTTTCAACAGTCTTTCGAAATCAGCGTGTTCCAATCGCGTGAAACGTAGCCGATACAACAAGAAGGAGAGCAGAACAACAAGAGTATAGAGCAAGTGTCCGTGGGACTTTTCATCCTGATGAAAACGTATCGGGCGTACGTTCGAAAAATCGCCAAAAATCGTCAGACAGAATGGCAGACAGAATGCAGAATACACACCATTCAATCGACTCGGTTCAATTACGAACGCGAACTCGCGCATGCGTACGTAACGATATTTTCTCTATACTCAGCAAAAACACTTCTATCTTCCATTCAACCGATCTTGAAAATTATCAGCCTTATATCTCCAACAATTAATTAATTAAACACCTTTATTATGGAAATTATATTATAAATTATATACGTGTTAACACGCGTTGTTTCGTTCATTTTCAATTTTGATTCGATTCGATTCGATAGAATATTTCTCTCAACGATAATACATTAACCCTTTGCGCTCCAACGGTGATTCTTAGTCATCACCACTGGGATTGATCTGCCAACTTGAACGACGACAATATTTATTTATATTGATTTTTTTAGAATATTTATTAGAATATCTTCATAAATAGGTTCTTAAGCTCTTTACGTATAATCTTAGATTTATTATTATTTATTTATCTTAATCTTTTGCACTCCATGCCTGTTTCGCTCGGTCGAATTAGCAACTCCAGACTCAGTTTTTGGTGCATTCGGTGCGTTGGCCTCATAAGATTACCATAAAATAATTACTCATAAGATAAAATTACCTAAGATTATACGTAAAGAGCTTAGGAATCTACGAAGCGATATTATAAAACATAAATAAATATTGTCACCCTTCAAGTTGCCATAAAAATTCCAGTGGTGAGAGTCACCATTGGAGAGCAAAGGGTTAATAATTAAAATATTATTAAAATATTAATAATTAAAATTCTTCGAAACAATCGAATACTCTCATTGATCGAGTATTCAAACATTCAAAACTTGTTGTTTTCTTCCTCCTTTGATGCAGTATTATAATTTATATAATACTTAATATTAACTCTTTGCATTCCAGGCCTGTTTCGCTCGGTCGAACCAGCAATTTCAGACTCAGGTATTCGGTGGCCTCATAAGATTATACATAAGATAATTACTCATAAAATAAGATTACACCTCATAAGATTATACGTAAAGAGCTTAGGAACCTATTTACGAAGCGATATTTTAAAAGAATCAAACATAAATAAATATTGTCGCCGTTCAAGTTGCTGCAACAATCCTCTGGTGACCGAGAGAGCAAAGGGTTAAATTAGACGTGATCGAGTCGACATCTTCGGTATTAGTCCGAGTTTGACTGGCAATAGATACATAAAATATTAAAATATAAAAGTTTTGTGCGTTAATTTGTGTGTGAAATCATATATTAGCTGTAGAAGAAATTTTAAACGCGCGGGTCCGAGTCTGGAGTTGCTGGTTCGAGCGAAACAGGCGTGGAGCAAAGCAAAGGATTGATATGACTTTCACTCTCGATGAAAAAATCACTCTCGAGTAGATTATTCGTCAATTTATCTTCTTATAAAATATAAAACTGGATATAATCAGTTTTCGAAAATCATTTTTCGAAGATTTTTGGGAGAAAAAGAAAAAGAAAATTGTGAGAATGAAAATCGAATAAGAATCGAAGACGAGGATCGATCGAGGAAGAGGAAAGAAAAATGGACGGTCGAGACGGTTCTCACAACGGCTTCTATTGGCTCGCAGGTTATTTCGGCGCCGATGCAAAAGGGGAAATCGATAGCGGACACGTTGCGTCAGATACGGACGACTGACGTCATATCCAGTTCATTCATCGCGAGATAGAGAGAAGAAGCGTTGGCCCGCAGCTTCGCTTGCACGGTGAATGGCGAGTTCATTTCTGGGGTGGCTCGACCCCGTTTACCCTTTGCAATTCTTATTTCAAACGAACGTCGATATCTCGCACGTCAATCGCCTTTTATCCCTTTTCTTCCCAAGCCTTTTTTCCCCCCTCCGTTTACTTCCACGCTATTTTTAAGATATGCTCGATTCTCGTTTGATTCTTAGAGATATTCGCCATTTCGCCAAACAGCGGTGAATAGAAGGCATAGCTATTTTTAAACGAATTCAATTGAATATTTTTCGTTTTAGATATTAGAGAGCAGTGTATTATATTTTTCATCAGTGTTTTATTTTTAGTAGTGTGTTTGCAAAAAATTGGAAAATTTCAAAATTTGGAAGACATGAATAAGATGTATAAAGTTTTTTTCAAGAATAATTTTAACAAGTTTCAGATGTTGTGACTTTTGAAAGAAATTGTGATTCTATGTATATATATATATATATATATATAGTATATTCAAAGTAAATTTTCAGAAAAAAATATTTGATACATCTTTTCATTTGAATATTCGCGCGAATGATTTCAAATATTTCTATCTTGACCCACACAATTTGTGTTTGACATTTATTCGTTCCGTAATTCAACTATATTGTTGTGGACAAAATGTAAATTAAGCTCATTTCGAGCATTTCCACGCAAAGAGACATACAAAATTTACATAATTATTTTATCAGAAATACCACTCGATTATCTGTCTCTGGTAGAAAATATAAATTAAAACGTATATATCAACGTATATCCATGCGGAATTAAAGGACGAATAAAATGAATAGAAAATATTACGGTTAACCGGGTCGAAATTAAATTTTTACATGTATATTCGGACCATAGTGCAATGAACTGGAAATGACAAATCTAGCATACCCGGTCTGGAAACAATTACGCGGCTACGAATTTAAGAGAACGATATAGGTCACCGCCGAATCAACCGCATTTCCTCTCTCTCTATACGGTGCACACGCTCTAACGCGTCCTTAACCCTCTATAACTAGATTTTGGCTCGTTTACCAAGAGGAAAATGTAATTTGTTCACAATTTTTCAACTTTAATTACAAAATCTATGGATCCAATTATGGATAAATGTTATTTCACGTTGAAATGACAATTTCGTATTAATAAAATATAACATGTTATAAAAATAAAACAAAACTCAACGAAAAAAAAATTAAATATGTAAATAAGTAATTTAATTTAAATGTACGATATTATAGAGGGTTAATATTCGGTTAAAATTCTCTAAATACAAGGTGTCTCAATACGAGTGTTATAATTGACACGTTCGATGTAAGTAAGATTTCCTTTTTTAGGAGGAAATCGTTTACGAAAATTGGTGAAATAATACGCTTTTTAATTTGTCCCCACATGTTTTGAGACACCTTTTATATCGAAGAAACAATCAAAAGAGCTTATCACGTATTACAAAATATTGGATTTACCAAGTGCTTCTTTTGAAATCGAATAACAGCACTGCCTTCAAGAAATGTATATCACTGACATCCGCTGATTCATTTTTTGCCACCAGTTGTAGTTCGTAGTCGTAAGACGCACCTGTGCTAGTACCTGTAATTATCAGTATTGAAATATTTAGTGGCATTGACTAACACTCTGATATACACGCATAAAACACAGTAAATGCATCGCGAGAACAGCGAACGAGCATCAATGAAAAACATATAACTGTTATAAAAGATTAAAGTTTTAAACAATTTCACATATATGAATATTTTAATATTTACTTATTCCATATACAAGTTTGAATACAAATCTTAGTGATAAACGGATTTCTATTCTATTAAATTTAACAAAATCAAGAGATTGAAACGAAATCATTTTACATTTATATAAGTATAATATATTCAATATTTATATAAAGTATAATTATTTATATAAATATATAATTATTTTCTACGTTACTTACTTTGAACTTTTTGTTATTTTACTGCGTCATCAAGGATTGATACCATAACCTCTAACATTTACATTTGCACTAGTTTACTGTTTCGCGTAAAAATAATGTTCAATATAAATATAAATATTTTAACACGAATATTGCTATTTACACGAGAATTTTGATATTTTAATCAAAATTTATCTTTAAATTATTATCTATTTTCACACGATTCAAAATATACGTATATAGATAAATATTTCTACGCAAATAAGAATCACCATAAACTAAGCAGATGGCGTGTCCATCGCGAATATCGTTAAGAAGTATATGTAATCGTATATGTGAAATCAAAGTCGGAAATAATCGTAAATCACAAGATAATTTGTGATAAATTTCTTTCGATTAAAGGTGAAAAAAAAAAGAAAGCAGTGAAAGTATTTATTAATTACAATAAAAACTATACTATAATTGGAAAAAACGAAATTCGCAGTGGTTACGCGGTACCTGGCAGAGACGCGGTAAATCAAGCGTAATCGATATCGATACTTCCTCTAATGGCGTCGTAACTATCGATCGACCGGGATATAAATTTCTCGATAATCGGTCTTCGTACACGCCAAACGAATTTAAATCCTGCTGAGAACGATGCAATATGACGAATCAATACGCTCGTTCCGGTAATGTTCAAGTTGAATTTATAAATCATCGAAAGAAAGTTTTTTTTCATTTTATCCTTACTGTTCTTTAACAAAATGTTCGATAAATTTTTATTCTTTTTTATTGCGCGAAATAAGAGCAAATATAAAATCACACGTTTAGAATAAAATTTAATATGCGAAATTAAATTTATTATTACAATTTGATTTATTGGAAATCAGATTTTGATATTTTTCATTATTTTGTTAAAAAAATGTTAGATATTTTTAACTTAAGGGAAGCGGTATTTGTATATCTATCCAATTGAACGATAGATCGTAAAATGGTAAGGAAATTTATTAGTTTCTTTTATCGTGAAAAAGTGGCATATTTTAGTTTCCTCCATATTTTATGTACACCTTGTTATGCACACACCAAAAGGCAAAACAGTAAATTAATTGAGCGCAACACTGGCTATATCATAAAGTAAGCACAACTCTTCCCTGTATATATTCTCATTAATCGTGCTTGTATAACCCTCGTGTAACAATCTCTAACAAACAGTATCACCTTTCTAACGACCAACAAAAATTTTCTACCTAACAGTATCGCCTTTCTAAAAAAAAAATAAACAAAAAAAAAAAAAAAGAAAATGCTCCTTAAGAAACAATGTCACGATGCCTCGTCTCGCTGTTCAATCAGCGTCACCGAATTCTCGCCAATCATCAGTACACAATCAACCAACGACCAAACGCATACCAAACGCACACGCATACGAATACACACGCATACACATACATATATATACATACACACAGATACCCTTCTCTTTTGACCAGAGTACCGTCTGTCATAACTAACTAGAGCACGTATTGTACGCTTCTCTTATTTATGCACAGTTTTCCTGGTTTCTCCCGGCTTCGTATGCACACGAAGGGAGGGTCGCCAGTGGCCTTTGTCGAATACCAAGACGTTCGCTACGCGGCCCAGGCGATGGCCACTCTCCAAGGATCCTTTCTCCTCTCCTCCGACCGGGGAGCAATACGAATCGAATATGCAAAGTCAAAAATGGCCGAGGTGGGCTTTACAAATCTCTGGATCGAAGTAGGTTTCATTTTATGCTACGCTAGCCGCATACAAGACACCGTGTCAACGCAATCCCGACGAAAACGCAGCATCCCTGTGCGACACATTTACCCCCGATATATATATGTATATATAATCTTGTCTCGATTCTCATATCTCGTCTCATATCATCGACGATCGTTCCTTCGCGTGATCACAATGCATACCTGTACCTATTTCTTTCTTCTCCCTACGACTTTTCTCCTTGTTTTTTTTTCTTTTCTTTCTTCGACTCTCTCTCGATTCTCTCTCGATCCTCTCTCGATCTTCGCTCGATCCTCTCTCGATCTTCGCTCGATCCTCTCTCGATCCTCGCTCGATCCTCTCTCGATCCTCGCTCGATCCTCTCTCGATCCTTGCTCGATCCTCGCTCGATCCTTGCTCGATCCTCGCTCGATCCTTTCTCGATCCTCGCTCGATCCTCTCTCGATCCTCTCTCGATACTCTCTCGATCCTCGCTCGATCCTCGCTCGATCCTCGCTCGATCCTCGCTCGATCATCTCTCGATCCTCGCTCGATCCTCGCTCGATCCTCGCTCGATCCTCGCTCGATCATCTCTCGATCCTCGCTCGATCCTCTCTCGATCCTCGCTCGATCCTCGCTCGATCCTCTCTCGATCCTCGCTCGATCCTCTCTCGATCTTTTCTCGATCCTCTCTCGATCGGGAAAACATCGAAAGATGGCGTTATTGGCCATCGATGTTCTCTCGGACGTCGACTCGATCATCGCTCGATCATCTCTCTTCCCTTTATTTTTTTTTTCTTTTTTTTATTGCCTTGTTCCTTCGTAGCACGAGTTCTTTCTTTCTTTCTTTCTTTCTTTTTTTCTTCTTCTCTCCCTTCCATCAAAAAAAAAAAGAAAAACACTCCAACTCGAGACTCGCACGAAGCACAGATCTGCGTTTTCGTCGTTGGACATCGCAGTATATATATCGTGGGGAGTTGGATGATATGCCTCTGGAAGGAAACGAGGATTTTTTTACGTCGCCACTTTTGCTCACCCACTCCCTTTAAGAATATCCCATTGAGACAACACAGGCTTTGTCACTTTTTCTTTTTTTCTTTTTCCCTCCCATTCTCCTCTCCTGTCATTGGGTGGCCCTGATGATCATGCTGCAAATCGGAGGGGGGATGATGCTTGTTCGAGCGAATCAACGCTCTACGAAGTAAATTTTCTGTTCGTAGATTTTTTGCTCTTCTGAAAGAAAAGAGAGAGAGAGAGAGATAAAGCGATACTCTTAGAAATGGATTTTAACAGAGATTCTTATATATCTCTTACGTTTAATTGGAACAATGTACAGCGATATATTCATTGTATAACATTTCTTTCCCACCATTTATTCGCACAAATTTTAAAACACTTTTTTCCCTTCGATTCTCTCCTTCCCCCTCTATATTTATTTACTCTTTTGTTAAATTGTAATAGTTGAAATCCAGAGATATGATAATCCAGCAAATATAGAGAGAAGCTCGATTATTATTTTTTTTTAAACAACTGAGACAAAAATTTCCTCTCTCCCTTCGACTATTGACATTTCTTTTTTTTCCCTCAAAAACGTATTCAAGATCATTTCAGGATCAATCCTTCACCATTTAATGGCATTTAACAGCACGTAATTACATTTGTAAATATTTCTCCACTTCAATATATATATATATATTTATGTACCTCTCAGGGGCATTTTAGCACAGCTCCCTACTCTACCATTACAGTGGTCTCAGCCAAGTAAGCTCTCAGCAGCCGATTAAAGGCCCGCTGTTCGATCTCGTCACTTTTCCCTCCTGGATCCACGAGGCCATCGATCCTCGATCGACGGCTCTCCCCGAGCTGAGTCCACTAGTAATCGCCAATTATCTTCTGCTAATCTGCCTGATGAATTGTGTATCGTTTCTTCCTCCTTCTCGCCTCTCCTTTTTCTTTCTTCTTTTATTATTCTACTTTCCATTTCTCATTTTCGCGATTAGGTTGTTGTTTGTCGTTCTCCATGGTGAATTCGTAAGTTTCCTTTTTTTCACTCGAGTTGAGATTTCGAGCGACGAAGGATGATCTTTTTACACGATTCGATTAGTAAAAGTAGTTTCGAGGAAAGTTTTGAAATGAAATTTTATTTGGAAGGAATACGTTTGTTGCGAGCTGGTACAAAGGAAAATCTGTGTTTCATTGTTCGTAATAGCGTTGAGAATTGCTCTTACTTGAGAATAATAATTTGGCTCGATTTTAGAGTAATCGAAACAAATAGAGAAACGGTGTGGAACAAAAAGAACAGGGTGGGTGTTTGTTAAGTGAATTGAAGTTTGGGTTAAAATGAATCTACAGACAGAAATAGAACGAGATATCTCGGTTACATTACATTGCTCTTCTATTCCTGTTTTGTTTCGTCTAATGCAAACTTCAATTGCTCAATTGCTGTGTAACTTGATAAAATAAACGGTATTTTTCCACGTCTATCTTTTTCAACGTTTATTTCCTTCTCTAAAATCGGTGACGGGTTGAAAAATTTAATTCGAGTTGAAGTCGCTTCGATAAATTAATTTAATGATTCTCGAATAATAATTATTGGGAATAATTGTAAAACGAAAATTTATCGATTGTAATGGCTACGAATAACACATTATTTTTGGGTAAATTCCTTCGAGTGAACTTTATTCGAAATTTTTAACTAGTTTTACTTTTTCACTACTCCAATAGTACTCTCGCATAGAATACGTGAACACGCCACACCCTGTGAAAATTGAAATGTATGCAATCGATCGATAACATTGGTAAAATTTGAGAAAAAGGAAGACGATATAACTTTTAAAGTTATTGTTCGAGTCCAAGGAAAAAATTCTAGTTACTCGTAAAAAAAAAATTATATCTTTCGCGAGTATAAAAATTTCATTGTTTTGTACATAATAATTTTTCATACAATCGTATAAAAAGATCGGAAATATCATCCCTCCTGCCATTTTCCTTGCATCATTGCCTTGTATTCTCGTTCAAATTTTGCTCGATTTTCTTCTTCTTCTTCTTTTTTTCACCGCGTTTTCAATGCTTGGTGTGCACAGTTTTTGCTCCGCCCTTGTCTGTTTTTTCTTTCCTCCTCCTCCTCTTTTTCTTTCTTGTATCTTGTTTTCCTGGATCTTTTGATATGCGACACCTTTGCACCGTATGCTGCCGCGCTTTTCGCTTCGAGATCTTGTTGCTAGGAGCGAGATTCTCCTAGGGGGAAGGTCGGATATCTACGTTAAAAATCGATCGATTAATTGCAGGATAATAAAGGATGAAAGTAGTTTCATCCTAGTTAAAAAAAGGCTTTTTCGAAAATTTTAATTTTAACTTTGAGATGGTAATTTTGAGAAATATTTTTTTTTCTAACACTTTTAAATCAGCAATGACGATGACGATGATGATTGAGAGAAAATTGTTAATAAATAAAAGTGAAAGAAAGAAAGAATATCTTTGCAGAGAATAAAAAATATTATTTCGAAACGAGTGGAGAGTGATACTCCTTCCATTCGTTTTGTAATCGATAATTAAAAATTATCAGAAAAAAAAGAAAAAAGAAAAGTTACGTTTGGGATTTTTATTTAAAATAAGTAAAGAAGAAATAAGTAAGAGGAATATCGAAGCTGCCATGCTTTATAACTGTGAAGCCAGATTTCTCGAGCTCGGGTAATCGGATTATAGAAGTGGAAAAATCGAGCTGCAAACGGAAATAAAGATCAGAAAGAATCGGGGGTAGCAAAGATTCTGGCAGTAAATCTAAAATAAAGGTAGCATGCATCGTCACAGACTTGTACAACGATGATGTTCTCGTGGCGTTACGTATCTCTTTCTTCATCCCTTTTCCTTTCCTCTCTCTTTCTCTCTCTCTTTCTGCGATCCCAATTTACAACGAAATTCATCGCAGAAAGATTCTTACGTTCTTTTCCTTTCCGCGAGTTGATATTTCTGAAATTAATAGAAGTATTAATTAAAAACCAATATCCCTTTTTTTTTAATTGCACGAATTTTTCCAAAAATTCTGAAAGAACAAAATTTGTTCCTTCAAAAATATTTCGCGAATATTAATCTTTTATAATATCGATATTTTAGTACATAAAAAAAAAAAAATAATAATTTCTTCTCAATTTCTATCGTTGAAATTTATTAAATTTATCAATCGTAAAATTAAACATCGCATAGAGAGAAAGAAAAAAACTTTCGTGTCCACCCCCTTTCAAAAACATCTTCCTCGAAAAACTCTCTTCCAAACAACGTAATGCTCGAGAACTGGAACAGCCTCGTTTCAAAAATATAGGTCGCGACACGCATCCATCGTTCTCGTGAAAATACGATTCGATCGAGCAAGACTTTCTCTCTCTCTCTCTCTCTTTCTCTCTCTCTTTCTCTGCGAGAAATAAAAAGAGAAAGAAAGAAGGAAAGAGAAACGGGTCAGAGATCGGCCGACCTTCCCCCCCCTCGTCTCGAAATTAGAAGGGATCGATAGTATTACGCTCGAGGACCGAGGTGATTAACATTTGAACGCATCGTCATTAATTCATCGCGCTTGAAACCGGGGGCGAAGTGGAGAAGCCGCCGAGATGGACGCGAAACGCCGCTGAAGGAATATCCGATGCGTTGGAAAATGCGCTTTTCCCCTCGCCTTACCTCGCGCTCTTCTTACCTATTTCCTTCTCTCTCTCTCTCTCTCTCTCTCTCTCTCTCTCTCTCTCTCTCTCTCTCTCTCTCTCTCTCTCTCTCTCTCTCTCTCTCTCTCTCTCTCTCTCTCTCTCTCTCTCTCTCTCTCTCTCTCTCTCTCTCTCTCTCTCTCTCTCTCTCTCTCTCTCTCTCTCTCTCTCTCTCTCTCTCTCTCTCTCTCTCTCTCTCTCTCTCTCTCTCTCTCTCTCTCTCTCTCTCTATCTATCTATCTATCTATCTATCTATCTATCTCTATCTCTATCTCTATCTCTATCTCTATCTCCCCTCCTTCGTATCTCGCGAATTTGAATTCAAACGACCGTCCTGTACCTCCTTCTTTCATTCCTTTCCCCTGCTATTCCAAGGATCCCCGAAAGCCAAACTTGTGAAAAAGGAAGAAAGAAAAAAAGTGAAGAGGGAGAGAGAGAGAAAGAGAGAGCTTTTCAGTGAGTGTTCCGGATGCAGTCACGGCCTAATGAGGTACGTAAATTACTGAATGGCGAGGCGTCTTCTCTGCTCCTCGTCGGTTCCAAGTGGGGAAGGGGGGGACGAAATGTAGGTTGTCTGTTGCTTTCGTTGCCACGGGAGAATGACGGATTCGTGGAAAACTTTATAGCGATATACCGCCCTATAAATCGTGTTGTACTGCCGTTTACGTACGTCGTTGTTGCTTATCGTATATACGAGTGAATTGGATAGGTTAGGTTAAGTTAGGTTAGGTTAGGTGTGGAACGTCCGATCCGTCGAATTTTGCTTGGATTATTTTCAGATCAATCTCCTCGGGGACGTGCCCTTTTTAAATTTAAATTCTAGAGATGTTTTTTAAATAATAATAATAATAGTAATAAGAAAGACAGTCAATTGCCAATTCAGAGTATTGAGCGTCATTCGTCGTGTATTCTCTTCGAGGAGGTTAAGGGAGCGAAGGATCCCCCAAAAATCGATGCGAGAAATTTTTTTATACGGATATTTTACAGAGGGAATTATTTGAATCCATATAAACGAATTATCCATGTGAATTGGTTTAAAGTAAATTTGTATACGCGGTATATCTCTCGCTGCAGATTATTTGTTTTTTGCGACTTGCAAACAAAATGGAAGACAGCGGAGGGACAGCAGAAACGTGGAAACGTATTTGCAGTGAAAATTCTTCGCATGTATGCGTCCGCTAATGTATATTTACCTGGTGTGTTATACTTATTCGCGTTTATTTTGGTTTTGAGGGATCCTTAAAAATATTGGAATTATTGTTCGTGTAATTAAATTGTACATACTTGGTGCTTGGGGGAAAAAAAGATCGGGAAGTCTAATTTAATTTTTTAAAAGAAGAAAAAAATTATTGCATCACGTTTAAATAAGTATTTCCGGATAAAATGAAATTGAAACTATCGAAAATAAACTGTTAATCAAAAGAATTGAATTGGATTCGGTTTTCAATTTTAGGTATATCGAATTTTCTTCTAATTTTAATTCGGGATCAATATCGCGTAATATATAAATATTATCAAGTAATTTTATTCATCAAATTTGTTTTCTTACATTTTTAATTTTTCTTCTTCTAAATTATTAGAATAATTAAATGTTATTAATAGATGCAAAATTTTTATCAAATTTTCACAAATTTTCAATTTTCAAAAATTTTTATCTTGAAGATTTGTAAAGAAAAGCGCTCGAGTTATTTAAAAACTCCCCTCCCTCGTTTATTCACATCGATTAATTTTAATTACAATATTGCAAACGAGTACGAGATTTTCACAACGAAATTTTCATTTTATTTCGAAAATTCACGATCTTTGTTTCCAAGGCACATACCCATTATCCATCCACGAAGGGAAGAAAAGGAATGTCGAGACAAAAGTGTATCGATTCGACAGTTTTCAAGTTTTTCCCTTTCGACCCTTTCGATTCGATAAACGTCTAACGATCGTTCGATTGCGAATCCGCATTTCGTATTTCGTTCATCCAATTTCCAATTTCAAATTTGAAATCGTCGACTACGATCTCGTCACCCTCTCCTACCATTTTTTTTTATTTTTCTTCTTTTCTTCTTCTTTCCTTTCTCTTTGTCTCTCTCTCTCTCTCTCTCTTTCTCGCTTTCCACGAACGATTTAAAAGGATAGGATTAAGCGGAACTTTATGTTCGTCGTGCTTGATATTTTTACTTCTGTATACTCTATCAGCTTGAACGTTGTTGGAACGTTATTTGAAAACGTTTCTTTTTCTTTCGGTTTCTCTCTTTAACCCTTAGGGCCCGAAAGCAAGGAATTAGTTTCGAATATTTAATAAATAAATTGTATTAATTATATTCGTATATCGACCTTGCTCCAGATTTTGCACCGTGTAGATTTTGGAATCCTAAGGGTTAAATTTTATACATATATATATATATGATTCGAGAGAAGAAAAAAAAGAAAATTGTACTCCCCGATTTTTTAAAAAAAGATCGATTAGAGGAAACGTACCGAAACTTTTATGCATCCTCGCGGAGGAATATACAAGGAGGGAAAAAATTGTAATCCTTATTAATTTGATCTTTTCTTCCTTCCTTTCCACTTGTTCCACTTTTTACATATTTTAATCGAATTCCAATGATGATTGCAGGGATCAAAGAGAGAAGAAAACGGGCAACCTTAAGATCGACATCAACGGCATGTAAGAACGAGGGAACGAGGGAACGACCGTGCGTGCTCACACCCCGGAATTCGGCAATACGAGGACGGATGTTGGAACCCGATTGTTTTCGCGATCTGTAAAAGAAAGAAAGAAAGAAAGAAAAAAGAAAGAAAGAAAGAAAGAAAGAAAGAAAGAAAAAAGAAAGAAAGAAAGAAAGAAAGCGTGGATAAATTGAAGGTCGGAGCGTGGAGCGCATCCGTGTTTCCAGAGCGAGAAATCGATTCTCGAGTCCACGCTCGAAAAGTCCACGCTTCTGCGAAGGAATCGAGGATCCAAGATGGCGGCGCGGCAAGTAACCGCGGGAAATTTGAAACGATTCGAGCGATCGGGGGTGGGATCACGAAGAAGGGGAAAGAAAGGAAAGAAAGCACGTAAGGAAAAAAAAACGAAGAGAAACTAAGCATTTCACGTATGCGAGAGAGAAAGAGAGAAAGAGAGAGAGAGAGAGAGAAACAGATACACAGGAAGAAAATAAGGATGTGATAGATCAGGAAAATTTAGAGAAAAACGGGACAAGTCGAGGTGTGTATGGTTGTTCAGCCTTGTCTCGCGAAAGCAGCACCACAATGTAGGGAGGAGTTTTAATCGAGAAGAGGGAATAGGAAAAAAGATGAAAATAGAAAAAAAATATAAAAAAAAAAGGAAAAAAAAAAAAAAGAAGAATTCTTATAAAATCGCGCGGAGCAACGGCGTTTTAGATTCGCGACTCGCGGGGGGCCCAAAAATAATCGCGTATATATGATATTCCTAGGTATATATATTTTTTAACGACTTAACTTATCGATCTATTTCGATTAGCCGTGTACTATCTTGTCTATTTATTTTCCACCGAGTCTTGATTGCGATCAACGACGACGACGAAGCGAGAGACACGAAAAAAAAAAAAAAAAAAAAGAAAAAAAACGTAAAAAAAAGAAAAAACGAAAACAAAAAGAAAAAAAAATGAAGAAAGGAGAAAGAAAGATGAGAAAGAAGAGGAGAATATACGAAGGAAAGGATTACACAACACATACACACACACACACAGATACACACACGTGTCGATTGTGAACTCGTCGCGACACCTCGGCGCGATTTTCACGCGGGGGCGGTATTGCACGCCGCGATTTCGACACCAGTGACATCATTTTCTTTCGTACTACACCAGCGTCCAAAAGTAGAGAAACACCACTTACGTTCCCAATTCGAAAAGAATTTGAAAAAAAAGAGAAAAATTATTACCGATGCTTTCAAAATTCTTTGAAGTTAAAAAAAAAAAACAATAGAAAATTTAAAATAACTTTAATTTATCTATAACATCAATTTCCAAACTTTTGATCGGTATAATGTATATACATAGAATTTGAAAAAAAGAAGAAAGAAAAAACTATTCCCAGTGCGGAAAATCCTATAAAGTTGAGAAATAATAGAAAATTTTGAGATATCTAATTTATAACTTATAATCTATAACATCAACTTTTCAAAACTTTTGGTCGATAGTGTATATGTAACACACGTACACATACATACATACATACATACATACATACATACATACATACAAAGGGAAGAGAAATATAAAAGCAGGAGAAGACGGCACTGTTGAAGAAGTCACACGCGCACGCATATAACGTAATACTTGTTCACACGTACACGGAGGAACACACAGAGACCGCAAGTCGCGGAAGATTCTTTTAGGAAAATCGAGCCCCGCGCTGTTTTCGAAACACGAGAACGGATCGTTTTCAGAGGAGGAAAAAAGGGGATTGAATTGAATATTTTCCGAAAAGACAGAAGAGTCGTCGTTGGGTAAAAAAGAAAAAATATGGTCCTTTTTTAATCTGTTAACCGGGCTGTTTGTTAGGGGAAAAAAAAAAAAAAAAAC